AATATCGCGAAGCTCCAAATAGAGATAAAATGATTAAATAAAAAGCAATGCACAAATCAATCACACAGATTGTAACAATGTCATGAATCATTTAACCAATTTTACATTCCTCAAATTTATTGTTTCATACGTTTTCTTTGTTCATTCTTTCTGTCGTGAAATAGTAAAGACTGCCAGATAATTTATTTGTCGAGCTCACTGGTTGGGTAATCAAACTCCAATCAAATCTATCCAAATGAAGCGCTTAGAGCGAAAGTGTTTGTCCGGAGGTCGATTTGTCTTGTGAATACGCAACAGTAAGGAATATTAACCTTTATCGTGATAAGAGATTGATATAAAATCGCCAATGTCCGTAGGAGCGAAGAATAAACAGAAGAAGAAGCCGATAACCTTCGAAGAGGAGAGCAGCTCCAAAAACCTTTCTGCTCAGATTTTGGACCGAGATTATATATGTTAAGAAATGGGAGTGGTTTACATGAACAATTCAAGTATCGGAAACACACCGAATATGGTACAAGCATTATAACAAGATTAAACAATGATTGACATGGGAAATTAAGGGTTTAAACATAAAAATGCAAATTGGTTAGATAACAACAAAAGAGTGTGGGAAACAATTTTAAGGAATGTAAATATGTTAAGGGTGATTCATAGTATCATTAGCATTAATTTACAATGTGAATGAATTTATTTGAGATTTCGTTTTCACGACACTTTCCTTTTTTATGGCAACAAAGCACACTCATAAGCGAAATTTCTTTGTCTAAGAACCAATCCTAATTACAATGCTTAATGTTGCAAACAGAGCCTTTTGTTGTAATCGGATTTCTTTTTCTTTATCTAAATCTGATGTAATGTTTTTTATAAACCACTCCCACCAAATATGCTCATTATGTTAATTGAAATTGTACATATAGTCAAGGCTATAACTAGATCATTTCCTTTTCAAACACTCAACCAAGGACTGCACCGTGCATTGTATCCTCTATTCCAATAAATATTTTTACTAATCCGCTGCGTTAATACAACCTAGTATCCTCTGCGAATAAATAACTTCCTCCTGAACCGAACGAAGAATACCTTCTCATAATATTCATCTGTGACTAAGAACAAACCTTTCCAAATCAAACCTGGCAAACCAAAAGCTTTTATTTCAATTTTTCCCACAGTTATTGAAGAGGTTAAAATATTTTGTGTATTCGTATTTTAATTATCATCATTCAGTTTGAAGTGGATTTTTCCCTTTTTGTATCAATTTCGTTTTACTGCAAATAGGCAGCCTTACGTTTTTCTTACCTTCTTCCCAATGTCCCATTTTGTAATTATTGACTGAACCATTTATTAAATCAATTTTAATTGAAGAAAATGGCATTTTGGAGTGAAGACCATCATCGAGTCGTGTCAGTCAGCAGTAGCATTTAACTGTATAAAGAAAATGAAGAAATGAACCAGTATGTATGCAATGTGCACATAGTTCCAATGTTTTATTCCTCTTTTTACACGCAACTGTCCTACATTTATCCTTTTTGATACGAAATTTTAAGGAAATCTGAAGATGCGAATTTAGAATTATTACACTTCATGAAAATTGTTTTTTTAACTCCACATTTATCATAACGTTTCAGTAATTCAATGAGTGATTCATATCGAAATTAGCATATTACTACTATATACACTTTTTTTTTGGCTTCTCGTTTCAATCCATGAGTTATTGATTAGAACAGTGGTACAAATTATGACGGATACATGGATTATAACGGAGACTACAAAATATGGCGGAGACTTTGATGACGAAAACTTGTGTCGCATAGACCTTAGATATATTTTTAACATTGATTCAATCCACAATCTGTGCTTGATATGGAACAGAACGACAAACAGAGCTTTGCATAATTTTTAAAATTTAAAGTCCGCACAATGATACAAAGACATTTGGAGAAAATGAAACAATTATCCATAATAATGGTAGTAATAACGAGGGTAAATGTAGTACGGATAATAATAATAATAACCATATGGAGAATAATATGGGAAGCCTCTACCAGGCTCTGGAAATAAACCCCTAACAAAAGTTCGGAGTACTTGTAATCCTTGGCGAAGCGGAGTTTGCGTTGATTGGTTAGGTCGATTTCTTCTTCGACCACCACCATTTAATCTCCCTATTGGGTTACCATTGTTCAGTGACTTAAATTTAAAATAAGCTTTTACGGGAGGTATGATGCTTAAATGAACACTAATAGTAATATATAACAGTTTAAAATTTGAAACTAACAAAAGGTATAGAAACATACAT